AAATTTAGAAATTACCCAACTTCCTCCAGTTAATGCATTCGCAGAAAGCAAGAATGGGCAATTCTTATGCTTGCACACAACCTTTAACCGAGACTTTGAAGATCTCGGTGTTCGGTGCTCCACTTTATGCTTCAAATGATATAAACCCACTTTTACTAACAAGTCTTCCTTACTATTGATGATAGCACCTTTGGATAATTCACGGTCTAGAATTGAGGGCTCTTCAAATTAGGGGCGGACATCAACATTATGATAAATTTCTCCGGGGGCCATCCAAGCACCACTCGAACGAGTAGCAGTTTCATTCAAATCATCCTCTGAACTAGCATCTTCTCCAGAAAGGTCAAGCCGAGGAACATCGTGGATCGCTACACTCTTCTTGTTGCGTAGAATATGTTCATTTCATTTACCCCATCAATAATGTTTGAGGGCGACACAATATTGTTGTCGCCATCTTCATCATCTTCGGAGACAAGCATATGATCTTCTTCAATACAAAGCCCGAATCATCATTGCTATCATCAAGCTCATCTACGAAATCGTCATTGGCATAAGGATTATCATTGATGTTCACATCATCACTGAAAGCATCACAATCTTTCTCGTCATCATCACCTTCATCATTCGCATCATTCCTAGTAGAATCCCCATGGCACCCACTATCCACACCCCAATGACCTTGTTCAGGAGAATAACGGAAGGCATCAGCTTCATTTGATTCTATCCTTCTATTGTCAGACACTACGTTGTTGTCATTGTTCGGCGGATGCGATGTTGATGGTTGACTGTGTAAGTTCATAAAAGTTGGATACACCACACCATATAGATAGAGAGGTGGGCCCTGAGCAGCAACTAGATTCATAAACCCACCTTGTCCGTCGATATGGCCATACGAAGGGTACGTTGGTACAATTGCCGGGTTGTACAAAGATGGACAATCCTTCGACTGTAGCGTAACATATATGGTAGGTATTGGGAACATGTTAGACACATTTCGGAGATCTAAGTCACATGAGATTCGCCATTTCTCCACATCTCCGTTACCACCGGTCACTAAAAAGTGAAATCTGTAGTTACACATGTGTCTGTCTGCACGAACAATGTCATGAACTCTGTTTAAAAAAACTTCATAAGATGAGGTCCTTAGACACAAAAAATTCATCCCTATCTCGCCATTTTTGTACACATTCTCATCCCAAAAGTCACTGCGAATAATACGCACTTTGCCAATGTCCATCTGAAAAAAAAATATATATTAACACAAATAGTTTGCTTGAAAGGATAACTTGGAGCTCAAGAATAGTGTCTTTGAGAGCTCAAGATACCTGTTTTTTATTCAAGAAACCTTTTTTTGTTCAAGAAACAGGTTTCGTGAACAAGCAGCAGTTTCTTGAGCAAAATACAACAGTTTTTAGAAAAAAATTGTACAAGAAACAGGTTTCCTGAACAAGCAGTAGTTTCTTGAGCAAAATACAAGTTCTTGAGCAAATTACAATTCCGCGCGCAAGAAACAGGTTTCTTGAACAAACAACAGTTTCTTGGGAAAGCAATAGTTTCTTGGGCAACAAACAGTTTCTTGGTCAAGTCCCCCAGGCCACCACGGCTTGGAGCTTTGCAGCGGCCCGGGACTTACAGGGTTGCCGCGGCGCTGAGCCCCGTTTTTTTTGTTCAAAATAAACTAAAAAAATACTATTTTCTTAAACTCCAAAAAAAAACTCAATTTTTTTCAATTTTAGAAAAATATATGAGTTGAACAAAAAAAATAGTTCTACAAAAATCAATAAAAAATTAAATGTTTTCAGTAGAATAAAAAATAGTTCTACAAAAATAGTTTTGAAATTATATGTTTTTAAAAAGTTATTTATTTCACATTAAATAAAAAATTATAAAATTAGGTTTACAAATATTTAGATATGAATTTCATAATGTTTTATGTACCTTTCTTTCCAAAAGAATGTACTTGTAGA